ATCCTCTGAACGGCCTATCTCACTATTTTTTGATGTGCCTATATTTTAAAATTTAAAACATTTTAAAAATAATGTAGAAATCAGAAGAAAATGCCAAATATGAATATTTTTATCTTACTCCAAGAGATACAAAACATATTATTAAGGAACTGATCTTAATGTCCAGGAAAAGGTAATAACCTTGACCTGACCTCGCCTCTAGTATTAAGGCAGGTCCACCCTTTTACGGATCCGGTTTTAATTTTACACACCGATATAAAATTTTGATTATCCTTGTCTATAGATATAAAATCTTTTTGGATGATTGAAAATGATTTAGCAAGTATACATTTGTTTATTGTAGTGTCATCACATGGTCATTGTGCACACAAAGCATTTAATGTACATTATTTATAGGAATAACCACTTTGCACTCTGTCCATAGGATTTATATATGTTATGTAGTACATATACAGACAGAGAATTTTTAATTGCCGTTATGGACCTAAAGCTTTTAATTTTTTTTATACAAACTAACTTGAGATCTATTTATCTTTCATTTTAGCCTATATTATCTTTTTAAATTTACTTTTATATAAGTTTTGCGAAGAACGATTGAAAAAATAGATATTCCAAAATGGGGGTATGGGTGTTCAAAAGGCTCTTTTGTAAAATTTTTCTGGTCAACCACAATAAAGTATGTTTTTCTGCTAACCTAAGATATAATTCTAAATAATTGTGAAGAATAAATAGCATATTAAAGAAAAGATTTTGAGAAATATTTAAAATAAAGATATTTTGAGCTTTTTCTCTGAAAGATTTTACACAATCAACATCAATTTTTAAGTGTTTTCAAATAGAAGTTTCAAATATTTCCTTGACAAATGAATATTTATGATTTTACTAAGTTTTAACAATAATTGGATGTGATTTGGTACATAGCTAAATAAAATATGATGTTACACTTCTATATGTCGAATTTTGACTGTTGAACTTTTAGAGGTATATACTCCGAGACATGTTGCATGAAAATTAACCTGCAAAGATATGTTTTATGGGTATTTTAGTTAGGTAATGACTTATTCAAGATTTTCAAATCAAAAAATAAAGAGTTTGACAGAAAATTCTGAAAGTACGGACCTACCTTAAACGGTCAAATTTATTCTAACTGATACCATCACAAATATTGTCCTCTTGATTCTGTGAACATTTCATTAATTTTTAAATACAAGAAATGTGAGAAGAATCCTACATTAACCAATATAAAATATTTATTAATGTAAATAACCCCTACCCCATCCCATCCCGACGCTTACAAACATACTTTGTCTCATTACTTTTCCTTAAATTGAAAACTCCCATTAAACTACAGCGTAGTTTGATCGGCTTTTTGTTTAATTTTGATGAAAAAGTCGGTGTTGTTACATTGGACCCCAAACTGAAATTTATAGGTTTTTTTACGGCTGGAGTAAAAAAACAAACATATCCTTAAAAAACTATAGTATTAAAGTAGATATTTAAAACTTAAATTCACTATTTATAGTGAAAACTTTGGAACTTTGATTTGCTATTATGATAGTAAAAACTTTGAAACTTTGATTTACTACAGTGAAAACTTTGGAATTTAATTGAAAATAGTAAAGACTTTGAAACTTTTTTTATGTAATTATGTTTTGATTCCTATTCTTAATACTTCATTACATTTCAAGGTAAAGATTAAGAAAAAAGTTTCAACTTTTTTTTATGATGGGAATATTTTCTAAAAGAATAATGTACAAGAAAATATACTAGTATATGCATTACTAGCGAGGGTCTCTTTTGTACCAAAAAAAACTATTCATTTAAATCTATTTTATTTTAACATTAGTCAGATGTAAACTTAGTCTAATATATTTCGAAAGAAAAACATACATCTCTGTCGAGACTGTAGCTTTACTCGTTTGTATTTACTTATAATAAAGGAAGAAAAAATAAGAAATTTGGGCGTAAAACTTAAGGGGATGAAGGACCTTTAGCCGAAAAAATACCTGTCATTTAATTTTTTTCATATTTTGTATATATCTTATTTAGTATGTCCTACATACTATAAAGCAGACATATCAAAAGGTTTCTAGACTTATTTCTGAGATATCGAGTGACAAATACCATACCCCACAGTGTCTGAGCGGAGTTTTTATTCTCCGTGTTTCTGGGTCCATTACTCGGCCGACAATAGAAATTTTTCACCATAGATAAAAAATATACCAGCGAAAATGTGTTTTTTAAAATATTTTAGAGTATGGATAGGGTTAAAAATTCGAAAAGGCAAGGTTCCATAGTAGCACAACATCTGTACCGGAAATTTATGACTTTCTTAAGACAACTTAAACCAATAAAAAAATTAATTTGCAAGAAATCCTATCATTTAATATTTGAAAATTTACGTCGAAGTTCAGGGTCGTCATTGTATTGATTAACTGTTAAAATATCGATTGGTGAAGCTGAGCTCAATATTGCACAGGGCAAAGTTAAACGAGTCATGATCATGAGAAAAACGTGTCATGTTTACATTTCTCGAGTACGGGAAAACCCAACTATGACGTCACACCTTCCTGAAATAAATGGAATAAGACAAACCCACAGAACTTTTCAGTCAACAACCATGTAAAAATATTTTTTGCGTTCTGAAATTTACAAAATATCCTACCATGTACATATTATGGCCTGTTTTTTATGATTTCATACTACCCGTATTTACCGTGTATGATCTTACTGAACTAACAGATCCACTATGACGTCAACGACGCACTGGACTCGCAGAGTAGGGAAACGGCAGAGTGGATCAATCTATTCCGTAATTTGATAAAATTTGCAAGAAATCTTGAATGTTTTCAGATATTTTTATACTAGATGGTGAACGCAAACAAACAGTCAAAAAGATTATACATGTACTGTGGTTTCAATCTCGTTTTGTACATATTTTTCAGAGATTGTGACGTAAATAAGCTGAGTCACGTGACCATACATCCTTCATCCCCTTAAAAGCAATAAATAAAATGACGGTCCTAAATTAAGTCTATATTTGTGGCAAGATTGCAATAAAGCTACATCTGTAGTAATAGCTTTCAATAAAATTTTACAGTAATTTCAATTTTAGTTACCATGGCAACATCAATCAACAAACTCAAAAACACGAAACTGATAATACTGTATGCCAGTATAGTCTCCTTGCATGCTAAATTATATTACAATCTGACTAAAACTGTAGGAGGAGTAGTATTTTGAATGAATTTCACAGAAATTTCTATTTTAGTAACCACGGCAACACCGTTGATCCTAATCAAAAACCGATATCTTTAAGTGTAGTCTACATGTGAGCTAAATTATTTTGAAATCAGACAAAAAATGCGGAAAAGAAGCATTTTATTATATTATTTCTATCTTTAGTAACGAAGGCAGAAATCAATAACCGATGCAGAAATGAAGTATCTTAGTGTAGTCTTTTTGTGTGCCAGGTTATATTGAAATCAGACCAAAACTGCAGGAGGAGTAGGATTTTGAAAAATTGTTTACAGACAGACGGACAACAGACAGGCAAATATACTACAAAATGAAGTATGCGCCATTTAGAATTTTAAAAACATCAGCTTCATCAACTTCATTCCAAATATTTTTCATAGTTTGATAATTATATACATGTACTAGTTTTCAAAATTGTTCATGAAAATAATCATGCCACAGTAATGTTTTCAAGTAAAACTGATAACAAATAAAGGATGAATGAATCTTTTCTCAAAATGATATATTATTCAATGTATTGCATTCATTTGTTTTCTTTGTGTTTAATATACGTAAACATAAATTGCCAATATTGATGTCTCTCTTTATCGAAATTTGGAGAAACGAAACAGATTAAAAATACAATTATAGTGAAAATTATATAAATTTATTTCTCGATACGTATATCTGAAACGTTAACAGTGACATGTGTTAAGCTATATTAAATAAAAAATACAAAGTTTGGAATATTTGAAATTAATATATTCTATATATTTTAGGTTGAGTATTAAAATCATTGTATCAAATTAAAAGGAATTTAATTGCTTGTTTGCTTCTGTATTTTCAGTAAAAAAATCGTTCTTTTAAAAGAACTTGAATATCATTGTATATATCCCTTTGTTTGTATCTCTTTCTTCTAGCTATCTGACTATCTGTCTCTTAAACATCCGGGGCTTAACGCCGTTCCCTTGACTAGATAGAAAACACAGTTAAACTTCAATAATTACAATTTATAAAGCACAAGGGCATGTATAAATATTTTGACAAGAGATATCTCATTGTTCAGGGAAAATGGATGTGTGTTTCTCTTAGATATAACAAGCAATTTCTAAATTTTATATCATTAAGGGTTGCAACTGCAACGCTTTATGATACAAAAGTGTGTATCATTAAGCGTCGAATATGTCGATATTTGCTTGTTTCATTAAGCGTCAGTGTTGCTCTGCATTTGTGACGCTTAATGATATAATTCTGTCATAAAGCGGGATTTAGCACTAGCGGTTGATGAATTCAGCTATTAATGCAATAATTTATGGCATTAAGAGTTGCAATAGCAACGCTTAATGCTATTTGTATCATTAAGCGGCGTTTTATCATTAGAGGTTGCTACACTGCGTTACTTACTTGATTCATATTTATTTATTACTACAGAAGAATCCAGGAATGGACAGTGCTGCACCTTATTTTGATAAATTAGAGAAGTGTTTACCAGAAGAACAAACACTAAAAGGTCTCATTTCGCGGAAACGTTACTATGAAATAGAATGCCCACAGGAAGATTTGCACAAACATCAAATAGAAATGATAGAAATGGTCAGAAAATGCATCGTTCATACTGCACGAAACCTTTCCCACTGGGGTGAAAAAATACCAAAAATATGGACGGTATTCGAGCACTTAGTTAGAGAGAACAAGGGGAAAACGATGAAAATTCTTAGCAGGGATGAATTGCGTAGAAAGGAAGAATTCCGGTCTTTAACAGAAGTTGAAACAGACGACATGCTCAGATATTTTAGAGAGATAGGCTTAATTATTTATTTTGCGGAAAAGGGTCTAAAAGAAAATATCATCATTAACGTCCAGTGGTTTGTAGATGCATTTAAAAATATTATAACTGACCCAACTCATGCTGAACCCTTCTGCGAAAGAGTCAGAGAATGGGATATCTTCATGAATACTGGCCGGATTTCTGATCAGACACTTGCCAAGATATGGGGAGATAACGCTTCGTATATTACTCAAAAAGACATTATTATACCCTATATGGAAAAACTTGGCATTCTTGCCACAGCGCGAACCGACGAAGCTGATAGAAATGAAATTGGAGCAATAAAAACGAGAACTATTTACTACATTCCTAGCATCAATAAAACAGACTTTACGAAAAAATACAGGGAGATTACAGAAAATGTCAACAAAACTCCGATTTTAGCATTTTCTTTCAAAACGTACATCCCGCATTTCTTTTTCTTCAGACTTGTAGCTCTATGTTTCTCTACGTGGGAACCATTGCGTGATGATCTTCTATTCAAAAATATTGCTTTTTACAAAGAAAAAGGTGGTGACCTATACATTGCTATTGCAGTAAACAAAACGTCAATCCAGTTGCAAGTATTTACTCCAGATGATACAATCCAGCTTCAAAATGACAAAACCAAACAGATCAGATCAAAGATTGAAGGGATGATGAAAGACATAACATCCACATTCCATCGCCAAGTCCTCTATGAGGTCGGATACACGTGTAAAGATATATATATCACTGAGGAGGATGAGGATTTTTTCTTAAGTGAGAGAACAGTGGCAGAACTGACAACCAACAAAAGAATTTGCCCCCATCATGTACCTCCAACGAAGCACGAGAAACACGACATAGTTCGTGACGATTTGTTGTATTATTGGTACATGGTAAGGATTTAAAAATTAAATAATAAAAAAAATGAGAAAATTTATTGATATGAATTTATTGCATTTATTTTCTCAATGTCGTCTATTAATTTATTTATATTATTACAATACATCCTTATGCTTTAAAAAAAAAATTAATTATTTTATATCATTTTAGGGCACTGAATAACGTACTAGAAGCAGCGTTCATTGTTTCACAACAATTATACCATCTCCAGATATCATGAAAGTGGATTACTATGAACATTTTGCGCATCAACCTATTATTTTTCCATACTAAGTCTTGGTATCGAATGATAGTACTAGTGTATGTACATATATTTTAACTTATGTAGTCACGAAAAGATGGGGAAAAAATACCAAGGACTTAAATCTGATCCTTCGTTGACTTTCTTTTTGAGAAGATATGAGATTGATACTGAAGAAATATCACTGAGTACACTGTAATTAAAAAAGTTTTTTTTTTACATGTATCTTTTTTTTTTTGCTTTTTGCTATCAATGTTGTAGTATATATCCTCTGCTTTTTATCCTGACCCTGTCAATGTTTTTGTTATCAAAAGAAAAAAACTTCTTTGATGAATAAGCAAATAATATATATGATAGAGTATTTGAAACAAACGAATGCAAAATAACTTATGTTTTATCATTGAGTTGATTTCCATGACAATATATTCAATGAAAAATATTTTTATTTGAACAATGTGCATCATAACCAAAATAATGAAAAATGAAACTTTTTCAACAAAATAAATGTTTTCATCCGCTCTAAGCTTATAATAACGAACTACATGTAATATGTCTCTTTACTATACATCTGATTGTAACAAATTAAAGTACACTTCTTCTGTAAGTCTTTGAAAATTTATGTTCGAACATATTTAAAATCATACTGAATAGTGATATCAAATAATCTTTAATATATTTTAAAATACATAATCTGAAATAAAATTTTATTCCAGATAGAAATTCCAATTACTCTATTACAGCTTTTTGTTGCAAAAAATCCCAATGATTCTGTAATTTCCATTCTTTATTTTATGAATGTATACATGTATGTACTCATATTTTATTAATATCACATAAATTTGTGTACAATTAACATGTGTGTTTTATTGTATATTAATATAGATACCTGTTTACAAGTGTTATATAATTAGTTTGTCAAGATTTTTTAACACATTTTTTTGGTTTCCTTGTGTGTTTCTTCTCATACTTTTCTACAGTTATCATGTAGTACATTTTGAATTCACTTGTTGAAGGTAAATGCAAATTTTACAAAAGAATAGCAAGGTTTTTGCTGGAATTACCTCTGACTAGTAAATTCGACATTTACAAAATACTATTCAATTAGTAAAATGTATTAATTTACACAAATATTTCTTACATTTATTGTACTCCGTGTGATAGAAGAAATACAAAGGCTTAGTCTGTGAATAAATATAAATGAATAATGACAGAATAATTTCACTGGACACAATATAGGAAGTGTGACACAAAGTGAAAACAATGATCATAAAAACCATTAGATATTTTGTTTTGATAAATAAAGACAACTATCTTATCTTGATCAATTTAAAGAGCAAGAGCCATGTTGGGCCTTATTCGGCCCTGAGAATTTCTGTAAAATCAAAACCGTTCAGTCTAGGTTGCAAATGCAGCATTTTACACTTGGAGTGTTGGTGATTACGTATCTTTTAATCGTGGCGTAATTTTCCTTTGAGTCAATGCATTATGACATCATAAAATGCATCATTTTCCTTATATCGTGTAAATTCCTTTGAAAATGGCCTAAAGTTTAAGCATTCTTTCAATATTTCATATACAGCACAGCCTCTGATCCAAAATATGCAAATGCATAATGAAACCTTAGTTTCTGAAGATCAAAAAACTTGTTTTATTTTTTGGATTGTGGCTATGCTCATAATTTAATTCTTTGCTAAAGGCAGTCAAATACGCATGTTTTCTTCAAACTTCAAGACCATTGCAATGTCCAAACCTTTTTCCAATATCTGAATTCTCAAAACGAAATTTTATTATAAAAAATGAAAGCACCAAGTGCCTAGTTTATTCTGACATATAAAATGGGAAAGAGTGTGATAGTTAATTATTTGATTTAAGTACAGGGCCATTTTATGCATAAGATGGCTCTTGCTCTTTCAAATGGGAAATAAACAAACTTGCACATTATTTCCCGTTCAGAAAAGAAAACTTTGTATTTACTGTAACGAGATTCATTTTTCATGGGGGGGGGGGGGGTAATTTTCATTGTTTTTTAGATAAATGCACGAAGAGAACCGCAAATTTTTGAATCAAGAAATCATGAATCATTTTAATCATGAAATGTATGTTTACATAAATTACTACATTCAAAGAATAAATTTCTCACGAAACCAGCATTTTTCTTCAGGCCATGAAATTTTATCCTCACAAAAGCATGTGATTTAACAGTGGTATAGTCTAAACAAGAAACCTCTATGCCACAATCTTCACAAGATTAATAATTCTATTTTCGGGGGTCCATTTTATTCCATACTGAAAGGTCAATCTCATTTTATCTTGTGAACAACTTGAATCAATTCATCAATTTTTCTTTTCTGAATTCTAAATTTAAGAAAAAGATTTCTTGATGTTAAATCAAAACAACCACCACATAATGCCATGCTTTCAAGATGGCTGCATGTGTCCCATTCTGGTGATAAATTCCAGGAGATACATCTGTAGTCTGACGTCAATGCTCTTGTTGGTGACGTAGAACCCCGGTACTCCCGCCTTCTCTAACATGACCTGCTGATCCATCACCTTCTGATCTAACTCCATGATTATCTTCATATCCTTCTTCTTTACCTCTTCTTCACACCTCTTCTCCATTGTCTGAAAATAAGAAGCATAAGATGCTTACATTATAATCTTCATTAATGATTGAAGACTTAAACATCAGAAATCTGAAGCCTAAAATCTATATTGGAAGATAATAAATATTATTCCAGATAAGGGGCAACTTGTTGTGCTCTATAAATTTAATAGTTTTTTTTTCTATGACTGGTACTAGCCCTTTCATTTTTTCTATTCTTTTCAGACCAAAGAGTTTTAGATCTGCAGCTATACAGAAAACTAGATAAAATTTAATTCGTTTTCTAAGACTGGGATACAGCAAAACTCATTTAGTATGAACACAGATATTGCGAATTTATGGATATAGCGAAATCATCCTGGATCCCCAGCTATATAAATTTAACGTCTTTCTTATACCGTTATAATGAATTACTGGTGTAGCGAGGTAATTTTACAGGTCCCCGTGACTTCGTTATAACCGAGTTTTACTTTATACACAAAATTATAAGTGAAGATCCAGACCTTTTCAAGCACTGTTTTTTTTATATTTGAATATGTATTAATATTTTTTCTTTATAAACTCAGTTAAATTTCTGAAACATTTTGAATCCATTGAAGGAATGACTCTAATTCTTGGCCAAATTATTTGATGATAACCTGGTTAGGGTCAGTTTATGCTTAATTATCATTTAATTTTAAAATAATTAACAACTGTGTGTGTAAAATTGTATGGGTTTTTATGAGTTCAAATTTGCTGGTCAATAATACATCCCTATTAACAGAGGTGATATGAAACAAGGGGAAGTAATAAATGATATACAGATCTAGCAGCCATGATGTTTGTGTACACGAGGTCAGATCGAGCTACTGTCTGAAGTTAAAAGTACATTTATTCAATCTGGAATTTCCCATGAATTCCAAGGACTGGAAATGAGGGGATTGTATGGATTAGATGATTCAGCTGGTTGTCGAGGGGGTGTGCCCCCATACCAAATCAGGTTATCAAGAAATAATTTGCGTTCCTTTTTGGTAATCAACCAATGAGAGACTAAAATACAAACAAAATTAAATTATTTGTATTTGATACCTCTTTCTCTCTCTCAATTTGAGCCTCCACTATGGGTAAATTGTGAGGCTTCATCTGACAGCTCTGTAGTAATTCTTTGTGTCTCTTTTGCAGCTCATGTCTCTGTGCTGTACATGTAAATAAAACAAGAAATGTTTTTAAAAAATATATATGACCTGTGTGGTAGTATTTATTAGGATCAAACTTTGAATTTCTTTGATTTTTTATCAAATCGATACAGGTGCCAGGATTTCAAGTTGATGTCTGTTGTGCAAATGATCTCAAGACAAGAACATAGCAGCATTTGACTCTTGACCTTTGACTCTGCCATTTAATATCAACAAAGATATTGTAAGCACTCAAAGCTTTGTGTCTGTCAAAATGAGGTATTAAGGACATTGAGTGAACAAGCTCTTTCTTTATGAAGTAATTGGGAATTTTGATGCTCCCTGATTGGTGCAGCCTTAGATATACCATAGAGTGAGTTCCCTTCATAATGCAGTTCTAAGTGACATTCTCAGATTTCCCTCTTACCTATTTGCTTACAATTTTATTGTCTTAATAAATTGCCTATTTAAAAAAAAACTGTTTCATTGTGTACATTAAAAGACAAATGCCAGTATGGAAAAATCCAATATCCCTAAATGCAAAATTGTTAGTTTTTTTATTCATATATAGTAAATTTCCACTTTTTTGATACTTGTTAAATTGCTGAAATATTTCTGATATGCTGTAACAGAATATAAAATTTGCTCAAGACAAGAATTAGAGTGAAAATTATCAAGTTCCTGCTTAATTATTTAAAATGTTAACAATTAAATTTTGAACTTAGTGTCCTTTTGACTAGTGTAGATTCCTTAATTCTAACGAGTTCTTATTATCACGAAAGAGCACTTAAATGTTAAATCACAAGAACATGAATTCATGACAGGACGATTGATAAAGGGATTTTACATGGATTTCAGCACCATGAAAATAATGACGAGTAATTTAATCTTGCAAGTGGTGCTTCTTGCAAAATTACATGATAATAAATTTATCACATATATTTAGGAATTTACAATTTACTGTCCTTTAGACTATACAGACCTAGTAAGGTATTGTATAAATCTTACATAAGTTAGTCACACAATGCATGGCCAGGTCCATCACTTCATAACACAATAAGTACACCTCATCAAAAGTAGGGTAAGTAATTAAATCATGCCTAGACACTGTGACAATTTGATATCTAGAAATTTCAAAAGTATTAAGATTTCAAGCGATAGGATTAATTTGTCTAATTTTTGTAATCATTGACGAGTTTGACCTGCTGTGTGAATGTGTCTAACTTTTGTGATCATTGACCAGTTTGACTCGCTGTGTGTATGTG